TGCCAGAAGGGTGTATAGCGGCATGGCACCACCTAAACAGTCTAGGGCCTGTCCCGCAGGTCAGGCTGCTTAGCCCAATCAGGGGATCAAGGGTTACGGTGAGAAATAGAACACTCCCGCAATACACTGAAATCCCTATCCCAGTAGGACCCTACGCGCCATGGTGCAGACGGCCCCCGTTTTGGGGAAGTTCAAATACCCACGTTACACACAAGTTTACCAATTTAGGAGGTAAAAGTTCACATGTCAGAAGATAGATAGATAGGGGAGCCAAAGGCGGGGGGCCATGGTTTGGCTCTGCATCCGCTTGGCTTTAGCAGCCTCCCTTACCCCCACACATTGTGTAAGCACTAGTGCTAGTGAGTAAGAAATATAGCAGGAATGCTAGAAGGGACCACTAGGGTCCAATACATTAAGTTAACTCATGTTAAAATTATGTTTGTTGTTCTTCTTGTTTTTACACACATGTATGACTATGTCTCAAGTAAAACCATAACACTGTACTGCCCACAGGCCCCCAAAGAGAGGGGTGACAATGGGGCATACCAGACCTCTAATAAATTGTCAAATAGACGAGGTAACTTACAGACCAACACCAGTCAACAGAGTGGCTTTCCAACCCATTAGACCCAAATGGGGACACCAATGAAAAGAATAATATCCGGCCCCAGCTTACGGCAGGGCAAAACATAACTCAACATGGAACGTCCTATTATTAACCCAATATGAAAGTATTCTCCCATAATGTATAGGGGCTAAATATCCCCTTTAAGAGACATGTTCTATTCAAGGAATTAAAAAAAGCCCAAGCAGGTATAGTGTGTCTACAGGAGACACACTTCTGTACTTCCACACACCCACTATTGGGAGGCCAAAACATCACCAATTACATGCCACAACACCACACAAATCCAAAGGAGTTTCTTTACTTCTAAGTAAAGATCTGGGAATGCGATCACTGGAACAGACCATAGATTCAATGTCAGGGACACTTATATGTGGTGAGTTTAACCATATCTTTAACCCATCACTAGATTCCACCAGACCCCTTCAACTCCCAACTATGCTATACTCAAAGAACAAAGCAGGGCTCTTACTACTCTAACAACATCCCATGGGCTACACGACATTTGGAGAGCATTACATCCAACCAAACGAGAATACAAACACCATTCAAGAGTTCACAACACCTACTCAAGAATTGATGACTTTCTTTTACACGACTCCTCACTAACTCAGGTAACTCAGGTGTTTGACTGCACAATCACACCTACAGATTGGTCAGACCATGACCCGGTTATCCTAACGTTAAAAAATAACTATGAATATAATAACATGATCCCATGGCACCTCAATGAGAGTCTGCTGGCAGACCCAAATTTCTGCAACATATTAGAGTCAGACTATCAAAACTATACTTTGAGACAAATGACAATTCAGTTCAGAGCCCATATATGCTATGGCTAGCACACCAGGCGGTGACAAGGGGTTCACCAACTGTCGCTCTCCCTAGAAACATGTAACCAAATAAACACACTACAATCCAAAATAAAAGAGATGCATCTAGCCAAATTTGAATTTATGTCAAAACGGTTAGACCACATCGTATGTTCAGGGAAACAGAGCGAGTAAACTACTAACTCAACGCCTTAGGGACAGACACGCTCAGACGAGGATCACCTTTATAATAAATGGGAATGGTCGTAAAGTACACATCTGCAATGAATTTGTGCAATACTATGGTCAACTATACAATCTCAAAGATGGCCCAGAAGCCAATCACCGACTACAACAGGTATTCAAGAAATCTACAACAGGTATATCAGAAATCCCCCTACCTACCCTATCAGAAGATCAGAAACAGATATTAGCCACCCCCATATTAGAAGAAAAAATATTGGAATGCATTAACACATTACCCAAAGGCAGAGCCCCAGGCCCAGACGGCTACACAAACACATACTACACAAGATTTAAAAACATCTTGATGCCACACCTGACTAACATCTTTAACCATGCGATACACACAAGAACTTTCACCCCCGAATTTCTGTCAGCGCGAGTTTTCACAATCTGGGAAAACACCCTACCCACTGTCAAAACATTCGCCCCATATCACTGTTAAATTCTGACACCAAATTTTTTTCTAAATTTTTTTCTAAAATCAACTCAAATCAGTCCTACCAACATTAGTATCAGACGACCAAGTAGATTTGGGCAGGGACATCCTACACTCCATACATACAGACCAATCACAAGGACTATTCAACTCACTGGACGCTGAGAAAGCATTTGATCGACTGAATTGGCAATTTCTTGAGGAAGTACTAAATTTTTACTCTCCACATGACTATATGACAGCCATAAAAGCGTTATACAGCTCCCCAAATGCATCAGTAACGACCTCAGGGTTCCTGTCAGATCCCTTTAAAATGACAAATGGTATCAGACAGGGGTGCCCCTTGTCTCTGCTCCTCTATGTTCTAGCTCTGGAACTGCTGGCGGGGGCCATTAGAAGCAACATTAATAAACACGGCATACAGATAGGAAATAAAGAATATAAACTTAACTTATTTGATGATGACGTCCTTTTGACTCTCTCCCAACCTCTCATATCCCTACCAAACCTACAAAAAGAGCTCAAACGATACAGCTCCCAATCGTACTACAAACTTAACATCTCCAAAAACTCAAGCAATGGGAATAGGCATCAGGAATAGCACATTAGAGAGATTTAAACAAGCTTTTAACTTTTACTGTGGGCAGGACTACCTCACGTTCTTAGTTATTAAACTGATGAAATCCCCACAATTCACTATTTCCAACTAACTACCACAAACTCAAACCACAAACTCAAAACGAACATAAAAGAAACGCTTAAGAAATGGAAAGGGAAATATTTATCATGGGTGGGTAGATGTGCGGCAATAAAAATGGTAATCCTGCCAAAAATCCTCTACATTTTTCGATCACTGCACATACACGTCCCAATTAAGTTTCTTAAATCATTACAAGCCATACTAGTGAAATTCGGATGGAACAACAAGAAGCCGAGAGTTCCATGGAGACTCCTGACTCGTAGGGTGCAAGAGGGTGGCCTAACATTCCCCAACCTAAGAGAATATTACAGGACAACATATGTAGCCAATATACTCACATGCCATTTCGGGTCATAAATACCGTAATGGGTAGACCTGGAGTCACAGCAGATAGCAGGCTCACGCTTGACGAATTATCTATAGATACCGAAGGGGCTCACACCCAAAAATAAACTACTACTTCCTACAACCAAACTAGACTCGAACAGAGATAAACTTTGCTCCACAGACCTATGTGCACCAGCGGCTCCATTAAAAGCATGTTCAATCCCTCATTTGATTTTAAGATATGTGCAAAACACAAAGTGACGCATATATACCAAGTGTTTAACCAGGGAAACACAAGGAGCTTTAGGGACTTGCAGACGGCTTTCCAACTACAAAACACAGCACTTTTTTCTTACATACAACTCCAACATAGAAACATAGAAATATAGAATGTGATGACAGATAAGAACCATTCAGCCCATTTAGTCTGCCCAATTATCTAAATACTTTCATTGGTCCCTGGCCTTATCTTATAGTTAGGATAGCCTTATGCCTATCCTATGCATGCTTAAACTCCTTTACTGTGTTAACCTCTACCACTTCAGCTGGAAGGCTATTCCATGCATCCACTACACTTTCAGTAAAGTAATACTTCCTGATGTTATTTTTAAACCTTTGCCCCTCTAATTTAAGACTATGTCCTCTTGTTGTGGAAGTTTTTCTTCTTTTAAATATGGTCTCCTCCTTTACTGTGTTGATTCCCTTTATGTATTTAAATGTTTCTATCATATCCCCCCGTCTCATCTTTCCTCCAAGCTATACATGTTAAGATCCTTTAACCTTTCCTTGTAAGTTTTATCCTGCAATCCATGAACCAGTTTAGTATCCCTTCTCTGAACTCTCTCTAAAGTATTAAGATCCTTCTGAAGATACGGTCTCCAGTACTGCGTACAATACTCCAAGTGAGGTCTCACCAGTGTTCTGTACAATGGCATGAGCACTTCCCTTTTTCTACTGCTAATATCTCTTCTATACAACCAAACATTCTGCTAGCATTTCCTGCTGGTCTATTACATTGTCTGCCTACCTTTCAGTCATCAGAAATAATCACCCCTACATCCCTTTCCTCAGATGTTGAGGTTAGGACACTATCAAATATTCTGTACTCTGCCCTTGGGTTTTTACATCCAAGATGCATTATCTTGCACTTATCCACATTAAATGTCAGTTGCCACAACTCTAACCATTTTTCTAGTTTACCTAAATCATTTGCCACTTGGCTTATCCCTCCGGGAACATCAACCCTGTTACATATCTTAGTATCATCAGCAAAAATACATACCTTACCATCAAGACCTTCTGCAATATCACTAATAAAAATATTAAAGAGAATGGGTCCAAGTATAACACTTGCTGAAACTACACAACACCAAACAAACCAGTCAGGTCAACAGCCGCAAACTACCCAGTTTTAAAACCTGTGTATAAATAACTACCAACAGAAAAAAAAACTATATATATTTGCTACACAGCACTTATGTCAGAACATGAACAACCCTTATGGGCATTCCAAAGGGACTAGAATAGGGATTTTTGGAAGAGCTGCCAAAAAAGATGTGGGAACAGGCATTGATGTATTTTAGGGGCATGTCATCATGTGCCTCACATTTAGAAATAGCAAGAAAGTTTTGTATAGATGGTACCTGACACCAGACAAGGTGACCAAAATACACCACATGATTGATAATAGATGCTGGAGATGTCAGAATGACAGAGGGAATACCCTCCACATCTGGTGGACATGCCCAGACCTTCTCCCACTTTGGGCAGAAGTTGACAAATTAATAAAAGAATGCAAAGGTACACAGATACCACCCTCACCAGAAAGTTACTTGCTGTTTATTTTACCTAAAGCTCTCTCCAAACCAGTGCACAAACGGGTGTTTCAGACTCTGACAGCGACAACTACATTAATAGCTTGAAACTGGAGATCTACAGAGGTACCATCAAAAACAGGATCGTTAGACCTCATCTCCACAAATGTGGATACGAACAGATAGCCATGCACTATATCTACACAGGGACAGTACAGAAAAAAGTTGCGGACCTATGGCAGACATATAAAAGAAGGATCACCCATGATACAACGTAGGGAAGAAGACCCTTCTTTACTCTGAAAGCCATATAGCCACCTGGTACAGACATGAAAGACACAATTACCACAACTGAAACAAACAACTAAACAGTTCTACAGTGTGTAGTTTATTTTATGTTAAGTTTTTTGTTATGAGTATCGTATGTTTTTTATTTAAGTTATATCCCTTACCCAACAGGAAATGTAGCAGAGGGCTAATACTCTACATCAAGCATGTCAAAATCAAAGGCTAGCACGGGCCAAATAAACAAGGTTTAAGTTGATGTGGGCCGCAAAAAAACAAAAACATAACTTTTCATAGAAACGTAGGTTTATTTTGAAAAGTACAGTATAAAAAAAGTTGCCTAACTGACACTGGACGTCCTCACGCTCGTAGGACTTCAAAGTAAACAAAAGAGCGAATTTATTTTAAGGAGACATGCATGTGCATGTTTCAGTCCAACTACCTTGACATATTAAGAAAAGTTTGGTAATTGGACTGAAATGGTTAGTATATGCTGTTGCACAGCTGTAAAAAACTAATTATGTTATCTTGTTGATTTTGGAGTCCTATGAGTGTGTTCTTCACTTTGGCTGAGATCATCCCATGGGAAAGCATTGGGGGGGCATGTGTGGAAAAAAGCTGCATGGTCAGTTAGCATCTCTATGGGGAGCCTTCAGTGCCTCAATGCAGACCCAATTTAATACACTGCACCCTGCCCCCCATTCGAATACACTGCCCACAAATCCAATACACTGACCCCTCCACCAAATCTAATATACAGGGAGTGCAGAATTATTAGGCAAGTTGTATTTTTGAGGATTAATTTTATTATTGAACAACAACCATGTTCTCAATGAACCCAAAAAACTCATTAATATCAAAGCTGAATATTTCTGGAAGTAGTTTTTAGTTTGTTTTTAGTTATAGCTATGTTAGGGGGATATCTGTGTGTGCAGGTGACTATTACTGTGCATAATTATTAGGCAACTTAACAAAAAACAAATATATACCCATTTCAATTATTTATTATTACCAGTGAAACCAATATAACATCTCAACATTCACAAATATACATTTCTGACATTCAAAAACAAAACAAAAACAAATCAGTGACCAATATAGCCACCTTTCTTTGCAAGGACACTCAAAAACCTGCCATCCATGGATTCTGTCAGTGTTTTGATCTGTTCACCATCAACATTGCGTGCAGCAGCAACCACAGCCTCCCAGACACTGTTCAGAGAGGTGTACTGTTTTCCCTCCTTGTAAATCTCACATTTGATGATGGACCACAGGTTCTCAATGGGGTTCAGATCAGGTGAACAAGGAGGCCATGTCATTAGATTTTCTTCTTTTATACCCTTTCTTGCCAGCCACGCTGTGGAGTACTTGGACGCGTGTGATGGAGCATTGTCCTGCATGAAAATCATGTTTTTCTTGAAGGATGCAGACTTCTTCCTGTACCACTGCTTGAAGAAGGTGTCTTCCAGGAACTGGCAGTAGGACTGGGAGTTGAGCTTGACTCCATCCTCAACCCGAAAAGGCCCCACAAGCTCATCTTTGATGATACCAGCCCAAACCAGTACTCCACCTCCACCTTGCTGGCGTCTGAGTCGGACTGGAGCTCTCTGCCCTTTACCAATCCAGCCACGGGCCCATCCATCTGGCCCATCAAGACTCACTCTCATTTCATCAGTCCATAAAACCTTAGAAAAATCAGTCTTGAGATATTTCTTGGCCCAGTCTTGACGTTTCAGCTTGTGTGTCTTGTTCAGTGGTGGTCGACTTTCAGCCTTTCTTACCTTGGCCATGTCTCTGAGTATTGCACACCTTGTGCTTTTGGGCACTCCAGTGATGTTGCAGCTCTGAAATATGGCCAAACTGGTGGCAAGTGGCATCGTGGCAGCTGCACGCTTGACTTTTCTCAGTTCATGGGCAGTTATTTTGCGCCTTGGTTTTTCCACACGCTTCTTGCGACCCTGTTGACTATTTTGAATGAAACGCTTGATTGTTCGATGATCACGCTTCAGAAGCTTTGCAATTTTAAGAGTGCTGCATCCCTCTGCAAGATATCTCACTATTTTTGACTTTTCTGAGCCTGTCAAGTCCCTCTTTTGACCCATTTTGCCAAAGGAAAGGAAGTTGCCTAATAATTATGCACACCTGATATAGGGTGTTGATGTCATTAGACCACACCCTTCTCATTACAGAGATGCACATCACCTAATATGCTTAATTGGTAGTAGGCTTTCGAGCCTATACAGCTTGGAGTAAGACAACATGCATAAAGAGGATGATGTGGTCAAAATACTCATTTGCCTAATAATTCTGCACTCCCTGTACTGCCCTTCCCACCTCGACTCTAACTGAATACACTGCCCCTCCTCCCAGCACTCTAACTGAAAACATTGTCCTCCACTAAATTGAACACACTGCCCACCCTCCCACCACACTAATAGACTGCTCCTGCTCCCTTCCCCAAATTACTACATTGCCTCCCTCCCTCCCTCCCCCAAATTAATATAGTGCCCATCCCTAAAATTAACACACTGCCCACTCCCTCTCTCAAATTAATACACTGCCCTAATTTAGCACACTACACCGGAAGGTTCCGCAAGACCCTCTTCCACTACCTTAAGATAAGCCACCCATCCTCCAGTTCCAGCCCTGCTCTTCTCTGCTCAAGCAGGCCAGAGGTCCCTCTGGCACTGCGAGCTGGAGGTAAGGGGGAGTGGCTAGCTTGCTGGAGCATGCAATCGGCCGTGGGAAGGAAGACAATAATTAGACAGGAAATATATTTGCTGTCTTGTTGCTGGTTGCAGCCACAACATAAACGGACCCCAGGGCAGGTGGGCCGCAAATGTATCCAGTGGGGGCCGCATGAGGACCTCGTGCTGCAAGTTTGACATGCTTGCTCTCCATAGACGAAACTCATATAATGAGTCATTTGTAGTTATTCCTCTGAAACCAGCACAAGTATACCATTATTTTATCAAGCCTGAACTGTGTAGCATAAGTGAGTATTAAATATGGTAATACAAATGATGAGAATTAAACTAGGAGAAGAGTTATTTGTTACATAAATAAATAATAATGTCATTACTAATATATGTATATAAAACTAATGTGAAGATGGTACAAAATGGTTTTGAAGAAACCTTCTATATGCTTTAAAGTAATTTATCAGAAATCAAAATAATGAATCCATGATTACATCATTGCATCAAATAGCTGTGTGGATATTTTTTTGTATATGTATATATGTGTGTATGTATCTATCTATCTATCTCACACACACACACAAAATATTTAAAATGTAAGGTGTTAAAGCTGAAAAAGAGTCTATTGCAATGTTCCTGAAAATGTAACATACAGTTTTTCCAATGTCACCAATTTTCTTCAATCACCCAAATACCACCAATTCAATTAAGCTCATAAACTTCCTACCCATAGTTCTCCAGGATAAGCAGCTCCATTTAAAAGTGAATGCGGACGAGCTTGTGCTGTCCATGTGAAATATTGTTCAATCAACAGCCAAAGTTTTACTTGTCAGTTTTGATATATCCGATAATAGCTGTAGGTTGTTTTGCAATGTCCAATGTTCTGTGAAGATGGGCTTTTCATATTCTTTATTGTTTTTTTCTGACAAAATGTTGCCTGGATTTTTGCAGTTTTGCAAAATGAAACAACAGTAAAAACAATATATAATTTAACCCTCATAGACCTAACGGGACAGTGGCTCAGTATCTTTCAAAGAGCAATGATTAGTTATGGTCAAATAGAAATTACTTATTCTGTATTGATTGTATACAGTATATTGCATTATACACTATCAAGGCTCATGTAAATAGTGAGTAGAATTAAAAATTGTTGTTCTGAATACCTACATATCATATATTACCATAAAGTATTTTTTTTGGATGGGGAGAGACACAGTAGTATGTTCAACACTACTAATGCTTATGTGGCTATGTTGCAATGAGAATGTAATTGGAAACCTTATGTATTGAAATCTTTAAAGAGCACAATTTAAAACCTCTATCGCCTTTACAACATTGTGTTGTACATCATATCACATTATTTAGACACACATATGCAGATCTTAACAAAATGCACTTTGTGATAATGATTCCAAAAGGACGTTAACCCCTTGAGTGCTAGCTAGGTAATGTTCATATAGTTGGCAAATGAGGCTTAAATGGCAAACAAGTGAAAGTTGTGTGGTCAGATTTTCAGGTTACATTTAATGTTCCCGGTGTTTGGAGGGCTGACATTTGTTGTACAACCTCACCTACAATGCAGACTCACCCTCTACACACTGCATCCAAAGTACATTAACCATTGTTGTGAAATTACTGTGCAGTAAAGTGATGATAAATACTACTGGCCATGCAGACCGTTTGCATCAGCTTAGGGGCACAATTCGTAGCCCCGACAGAAGTTTGAGGACAATCATAGCGATATATAAGTGTGATGCTGTTGCCCTGGCAGTAGAGCACCAACATCAATTAGGATCACACAGTGTCCTATTTCCTTCTTCTTGGTCTCTACTATACCTTGTAACCTGCAACATGGACTCAATTATAAGTATGGATCTTCCCTGCAGATGTTTGGAAACCAGTGTTCATTTGATTTTGGAGGACATTATATCTATATACTCTATATGACTATATATTCACTCCTAGATGATTAGTTCTTCACTAACACATGTAACAAGTCCATAACTGAACATATACCAACTTAAAGTAAGGGGTTGTAACACTTGTGAAACTATGGTACATCTCTTTCACAAATGCAGAGATTTGGATTGGTAATAATAATTAAATTAATTGGTTTCTTGCCCTTTAATGATTAGCGTGTTGTGATTTTTTTTTTCTCATGGATCCTTCTTGTTGATTTAAAAAAAAAAAACAGCACAAGTATATGTTTGTTTGAATATATATTTACTGTTATAGAGAGTAATATGAATAGTTTTTTTTTACAATGTATTTAATAAGCTCAAGATACATATAAT